GCTTTTTCATAAAGAACTTCATCTCTAACTCTTCACAGATTGAAGTTCTGAACAAGTACCTGTTTCTGACTTCCAAACCCATGATCTACCTGGTTAATCTTTCAGAGAAAGATTACATCAGGAAAAAGAACAAGTGGTATGTTTGCTTTCACCCTGCGTGTCTACATGTCGCATATATTAATCTTACCGTCATCGCATTTCTTTGCCATTTGAAATAACTCATCCTGCGGCCTGTTGTTCATCAGGTTGGCAAAAATCAAGGAGTGGGTAGATGCTCATGATCCTGGCGCTATGGTCATTCCTTTAAGTGGAGCTTTGGAGTTTAAATTGCAGGACATGGAGGAGGAGGAGAGGAATAAATACTGCGAGGAACAGAAGACACAGAGGTATTTGGTCATTAGTCTTTAAGTTGTTAATATCATGCTAAACTTGAAGGGTACTTTCTTTATGGGTGTACTGTGAAGCAAGCAGTCTCTGGTATTGTAGGTGCAATTCCAGCAGGGCAGAAGAAATGTGTAGATGCCTTTAAATGCATTGCTCCCTGAATACATGCACATGTCAGTGAGAATGCAATACACAATTTGTGCTGCTGTAACTTTCACAGCAGGGTTTATTCATGGGTAGTAGTAAGGAACGGCTCAACACGTTGCATGCATAAAACAGTTTTATTTAGGCAAACTCTGTATTGCAATCAGAGGAATAATTGGGGAAGACATGGCACTTTGAGGTGACTTTAAACTGAACAACACTAAAAACTTTGATTTTAAGTTCATGGCTCACTAACCCTTTAATCACTCTTTGTAGTTGCACCTTTCTGCTGTAATGATATTAAATGGCTGCAGGCAACTTAATACTGAGTACTGAGTAATTAATTAAAGTTTGCACTGGTCCTTATTTACTAATGTGCTTTGAAACGTCCGTACCCTGTGCAAAAATTGAATTTGCAAACCATTTTTTGTTTTGTTTTGTTTGTGTGTTTCTAGTGTTTTGACCAAAATAATAAAGACCGGCTATGCAGCGCTGCAGCTGGAATACTTCTTCACAGCAGGACCAGATGAGGTGCGAGCGTGGACCATCAGGGTGAGTGTTTTGACGTGTGTGTGTGTGTGTGTAACCTTTTTAAAAATACATAATCAACTCTTGTGATTGAAGATAAACCACTCTGATAGTTTTGAATTTTAGAGATCTTCACTGAGTTTAAAAAATAAAAAAATAATTTATTCAAAGAATATTTTGGAAAGCTTAATTTTCCAATGTTTTTTTTTTTTTCCTAATTTGTGATTAGAATGTTGGCTTGTATTAAAATTCCAACATTTTGCGTCATTTTTGTTATTTTTTTTCTGACAACCAGCTTCACTTTTGTTTTCCGTTATTATATTTAAGTAGTCAGTGAAGATCTGACTTGTAAAACTGAGTGATGGAAACATGTGGGGTGGCTGTAGCTCAGGTGGCAGAGCAGGTCAGCCACTAATCCTTGGGCAAGATACTAACCCCGTGTTTGCCTACTGGTGGTGGTCAGAGGGCCCGGTGGCGCCTGTGTCCGGCAGCCTCGCCTCTGTCAGTGCGCCCCACGGCAGCTGTGGCTACAATGTAGCTTGCCATCGCCAGTGTGTGAATGTGTGTGTGAATGGGTGAATGACTGAATGTAGTGTAAAGCGCTTTGGGGTCCTATGGACTAGAAAAGCGCTATACAAATGCAGGCCATTTACCATTTACATCTGACATAGATTTTTAAATATATGTGATATTATATTACTTTGGCTTTTGCCATTTGGTGTCTTCAACAGTTCTATAATTGAATACTGATAGAAATTTTATTGTTTCTTTGTTCAAAACAGAGCCCTGAAGTAAATTTTTGACAGTTGTCATCATTTTGTGATGATATCAGGAGCGCAGATTGTTACTTTTGCAGAATTTCTTAAATGTGATGCATTTAATAAATACATATTTTATTTATAACATGTCCTGTTGTGCTTTGGTCCCACAGAAAGGTACAAAAGCTCCTCAGGCTGCTGGAAAGATCCATACTGACTTTGAGAAAGGCTTCATCATGGCCGAGGTGATGAAGTTCACAGACTTCAAAGAAGAGGGCAGTGAAACTGCAGCCAAGGTGTGAGCTTTTGTTTTGTTTTGGGTGTTTTTGTTTGTTTGTTTGTTTTTCCCCAGCCCAATTATTCCTGAGTTGCTGCATGTGCTGAATTTCCATCAATAACTGTTCTGGAATATATCAACTATAATTTTTTTCCCTTGTTTGTTTCTCTCTCAGGCTGCTGGGAAGTACAGGCAACAGGGCAGGAACTACATTGTGGAGGACGGGGACATTATCTTTTTCAAATTCAACACACCCAATGCACCCAAAAAGAAATAAGACCACAGAGTCACTGGGTTGGGGGAATCAAAACTCAGAATACAGTTTAGTCCCACAGAGCACACTGTCTGCTGGTTTTCATACTTCTTTTTTGATTCTGATGGCTTCAGCTGTTCGAATCAGTTTTTGGTAACAATGCTTTAGTTGTTCATGTGTTTTTAACACATAAAAGACTGTTTTTTGATAATTTAATTTAAAGAAAAGCTCAGACTTCTTTTGAGACAGGTTTCTGTTTTGGATTTTTTTTAAGACTTAAGTGTTTTATTGCTCCGAGCAGCTCATCTTTTCTCTCTTCATGAATTGCAGTCATGGCTACAGCTGATTAATCTGTAAGCTTTCACATTCTAATGAGCCTGTTGTTTGGTGCATTAGTAAGGGCAGGCATGGCTGTTCTATCATAAAAATACTCATAATTGCATAAAGCAACAATGTGCTGCAGGTGAATTAGTTTTAGATGTCATCCCTTAAAATTTAAAAAGAGCAGCACAGTTCTATTAAATTAAAAAGGTGCTAAAATATATTGTGTCCAAAAATCAATCATCATTTCTTCTTGGGAGAACGAAAGCCATCGGTCGGTGTTTCATTGAGGGTGGGGCTGAACTGTATTGTGCTGATAACATGAGGGATATTATTTTAGAAAGAGGAACGGAGACCTCGGTGGCAGTGCCTCATCAGATTCCTGAAGGGAAAGCTGCTTTTATTGATTTACACTCCTGACGTAAAGGAGTCCGCCCCGCATAACGAGAGAATGCACCCTTGTGGATCATTTGGACTGTACAGCTTTAAATCGCATCATGTTTCACCTCTCTCACTGCCCACAAACTATGCTCATTTTCATAAACATGCTGCCACACTGTGGACTAAAATAGAAATCTTTCTGACCTATGGAAACCAGTGTACAATAAGTATCACCCTCATCAATATGCATGTGTCAATAAAAGGAGATAAACCTGTTACGGTTTTGTATGTTTATTTTCTTTCATTCCAGGCAAAACAGATCGTCGTCCCAAGCTACTCTCATCTCTTTATATTTTGATAGGAAAAAGTTGCAGCATCTATTGAAATTATTTGTGAAACATGTACAGTTGTTTGTGGCAATGCAGTGTATATATAAGGGAAAAAAAGCTCTTTGGATGTTTGGGTCCATTTCAGATCAAAATCAGGTCCAGGCCTTGAGGAGGTCGATCGATGACTGTTGGTGTTCCACTGTGTTTTTCTATCCAGATTTGCTTTTACTACATTGGCAGTGTGTTTGGGATTATTCTGGCTGTAGACACTGCTGTACCTCTCTCCTTACCTTTGTACATATTGAAAAACAAAAACATATTACCAAAAATGTCAAATACGAATTCATCGCTCCATAAGGCCTGTTGCCACTGATTTTATTTTCAGTCTTTGTGTAATTTGGTATACCTCAACCTTTTCTCACCATTTCTCCTCCTACACAGTGGTTTCTTCATAGTCAACCTTCCACTGAGACCATTTCTGATGAAGCTTCATTGAACAATGGTGGCTTATCTCTCTGTTCTTTGACACTTCTTTTTTTGTCCTGCTAGTAACAAAGTGTCTAAGGACGCTACCAGAGCAGTTGTATACTTTTACACGGTCACGAAAGCCTGCTTTGCTGTACTTTTCACACACTCTGGAGGTCGTTCTTATTACTTCACTGGGCTTCATGCACTAAGTGATACAGTCATGTGGCAGCTTAATTGGTGGTTATAAAAATGTTTTTAACCTATTTTCATATATGGATAAGCTTTCATCGTGGACCCACACATGAAATTTAGCCAGAACAAATAATCTGCTCACCTTCAAGGCCATTCATAACCTCGCTCCTTCTTACCTTTCTGACCTGTTAACCACCACTTGTTCTGCCCGTTCACTTCGTTCTTCTTCTATCTATCCAGCTTACTGTACCTTCCTTCCGCCTCACCACCATGGGAAGCAGAGCTTTCAGCTGCTCTGCTCCCAGGCTGTGGAACTCTCTGCCCCCAGAAATAAGAAATATTGGTTCTCTCCCCCAGTTTAAATCCCAACTCAAAACTCATCTGTTCAAATCTGCATATTCACTGTGAATCCACTGTTTGTTCATTTTATCTTGTGCTTTATTTTATTGTTCTTATTCTGCCATTGTTTTACTAAGTGTTTTATCCTATTGTAAAGTGTCCTTGGGTGACTTGAAAGGCGCTCATAAATAAAATTTATTATTATTATTATTATTATTATTTATTTTCATATTTTTTATGGTTTATAAATCTCAAGATAGACAAACTAAGACTGACATTTTTCCACTGTCTGTATTCAGACAAATGTCATTAACCCGTTTCTTCCCAGATTTTTTTCAGAGTTGTAAGGCATATCATTTTATCAGTTGAGTCCCTCTGAATCATGTTATGTATTTATTTTTTCCATTTTGTACTTTTTTTTGAAGAAAATAGCATTTTTATGACTGGCAACAATTGTTGCCAGTAGTCACACAGCTTGTCACTAAGGCAAATGTCACCTAATAATAATAATAGAGAAGTAATAATAATAATATAATAAGAACAAAATAATAATATAGTCATAATAAATAATAACAAAAAGGTGGAGCCTCAGGTTCCCCCTGTATAAAATTCAAAACATCAAACAATTTGAACTGATTTCTTTATTCTCAATTTTTTTATACTCAAAAACTCAACAAACATTTTTTTCTTAGAACCTCTAAAAACATATATACATATATAACATATTTCTTCCCATACATTCCATCATCTTTCATGCATGTTCTACTCAGTGTGGTACTTCTTGAAGCACTCCACATGTAGTGGCACATCACACTTTCCACACGCAAATGATGTGCGTCCGCCGCAGTTCTTGCATCGCTTGTACCTGCTACCAGTGTTGCAGGGCCAGTGGTTCAAATTATCAAACCTGGTGGCATCAGTTATCGCCACCGCCATTGAAGATCTTCTGCCCTGCCTACTTGGCTTTGTTCCATGGCGCAGGAGGAGGGTCTGGGCTACCAGCCTCTGGAAGGAGAGGAGATCCTTCTCCCCGCTTTTCCAGGACCTAAATGAATGACAAAACAAGCATGATAGATGCATGAATGTGCATCGTTTCATAGCACCAGCTGTTCACCATGGCACTGTTCAGGGCCCAGCTGAAGCATGGCCACCACCACTTCTTGGACCGGATGTTGACTCTGTAGCGGCTGACAAACTGGTCATGCAGGTCCACTCCTCCCATGTGTGTGTTGTAGTCCTGGATACACTTGGGCTGTCTGACCTTGTCCATAGTCCGCTTCTGTTTATTCCATCTCTTCGCCTCAGTTTCGGTGAACTCCCTCTCCATGTTCGACACCACGGTGACCACGCTGTTGTCATTCCACCTTACAATCAGCTTCTCTGCCTCAACCAGATACTCAGCATCTCCTCTGGGTGTCTTCTTGAAGGTCTGGGGTGCTGTGAAGGGAACGTTATGGAGCTGAGTTTGTCGCATCGTGCCACAGCTGCCATAGCCTCTCAGGGTCATCTCATCCACCAGGGACAGGGTTGTGAAGAGGTTGTCGTGGTAAAACTTGACTCCAGGTGGCACTTCAGCTTTCTCTGCCAGGCCAAGAACCACACTTGGACCCTGACCAAGTCCAGTTTCCACCAGATGTGTGTGGCTTCCTACATATGGCTCCATCTGATGGACAAACCCGGAGGAGGATGCTAAGCTCCATATTTTATACCCAAAACGAATAGGCTTCCCTCTAATAAACTGTTTGCACCCATGCCTTCCAAAATACTCAATCATCATCTCATCTACTGCCACATGTTCTGCTATCGGGATTGCGTTGTTGATGTCATTTAGATGCTTAAAAAGGGGACGCACCTTGAAGAACGGGTCAGCTGTGATCTTCATGTTGTCTACTAAATGAACAGAAGACATAATTTCATCAAACCTGTTCCTCCGCATGGCATCTTTTACAGCATTGTTGCTGACATCACAATCGTCTGACCAGAGAAGACGCCGCCTTGGGACTGTGTTGTATCCACTGATCAACAGAATACCGTAGAATGTAAGAAGTTCATCCTCAGTCAGGTTGAGCGTTTTCCCTTTTTGTTCAGCGTAGAGATTGGACATTTCCAGTGTGACATCTCTGAGGGACTTGGGATAAAATGTGAGGAAGATATCCACTGGATCATCTGATGTGAAGCCAGGATCATGTTCTTTGGGGACATAGCGAGGGATCTGATATTTTTTGTTGGCTTGTGCTGGTGCTTTGGCCGCAATTTTGATTTTTTTGAATTTCCTGTCTTGGTTCTTAGTTTTGTGGAGCATGGGCCCAACAATCTGACTGGTCACCTTTTCATTTGTGCCACTGACCTTTCTAGTCTCTGTCTGACTCACTGAGGATGAGCACCCAGGATCATCATCGGGGGGATTTGGCAGCTGCATGTATATATT